ATTTTTCTCAGCAGCATGCACGGCATTTCTATGTTGCAAATTTTAATTTAGACACAATTAATATAAAAGCAGACAACTGCATTTAAATAAAGTCACTGTAGTGTCTTGCTCAAGGCCTTCTTGGAACGAGCCACACATTTAGCAATGATGTGTTCATACAATGCAAACATTATTATTCTTAATATGCAATATAAATATTTTCTTTCTTCAATCATGAACAAGTTTGAGCGATCACACGTTCAGCACTGCCTAGAAAAATGACCTTTTATGTAATAAGACGTTTTAAGCAAAGATGCTTTTTTTCCAATTGACATTTATAGTGATTAAACCTTTTCATGTCCAATAACACATAACCTGAAGCCTTTACATACAATGCATTATTAATGTATTCATAATGTAGGTTATTATGCATTACTCTACATCTTCCCATAAATTCTTCACAATAAAAATACAAATTTACATCTGAAATTGGATGTTTAGATATGTATTATAATGTATTATCACAGGTTTATCCATGAGGTCATACAATGCATTATGAGACAGCATAATGCATTAAAATACTTTTAATGCATTATATACAGTGCTGGGTAGTAACTGATTACAGGTAATTTGGATTTTATGGATCATATAATTACATATTGTTCACACACGTGTGTATCTTTGGAGGCTTTTGTCTTTCAAACACATTACAATGCACAAATTCATGATATTTCTTATTTTCACAAAATGTTTGTCAGCTGAGCCTCTTTCAACAAATATATTTACTTGAATATATTCACATCTGCATGTTCATTGGTTAACAGTCACATGACAAGCAGGTAAACAAATACAATATTCATCTCATTTAACTGTTTTATTTTAGTGGTTGTTATTTTAAAATCATTTATTTTAATTTTACATTTTTTGATTGATTATAATTAATTATTAGCTTTTCATTAATCTCACAAACCTGCCTTGAACTCACAAAACACGAACCGCAGTTTAAGAAACCTTGATGTCACGTTGCATGCACTTTGTTATTAATTACAACGAATGGAATATATTTCCATTCTCTGAGAATTTCTATATTAATGTGGTACAATATTATCCAATTTAAACCAATGTGATAAACGAGTTAAACATTCTAAACGTAATCAAAAAGTAGCCTGATTATGTTATATGTAATGTAATGGATTACGTTACTACAGTAACTACAATTTGTGTCTTGTATGTGGAATCGTAAAGTAGATACATTATGAAACATATAATTAAATTGCATTGCATATAAAACTGAAGCTATCTTTTTATATTAAGCGTTAAAGCAATTATCTTATTCTATTATTTGATGAGTGCTTGTTTCAAACGGGTGAGTCAGTGAAGACGTCTGCAGGTGTGGAGAGACTTTATTTCTATTTTAACTAGACACACAAGTGCAGGTGAGGAGGTAGAAAGTAGGTGAATTTTATAGAGGTGTGTCTGCAGGTTTCGTCGCGCTAATCCTAGCTTTATAATCACTATGTTGTATCAGTGCTGAGTCATTTGCTGAACGCAGGAAACGTCATAATGTGAATCATGCATGAACTGAATGGGGCCCGAGGAAGAGCTGAATCCAGCCAGTGAAAAACATCCCTAGTTTCCAGAATGACGCGTGTAACTTTAAACTGAGATGAAGGAGGGTTTAGTGACGGAGGCAGCTGGAATTCAGTTTGTCTCACTGGAAATATTCAATGTTAAACAATAAATAAATTAAGCGGCGTTTGCATTATTTAGTGTCATGTGTGTTTTATATTTAGTGCAGTGCGTATGTTTGTTTTTACATACATATATGAAAATGCTGCTTGTGATGAGTTTTGATTCATCGTGTCTTTCTCATCACATCTGTACATTTCACAGAGGTGTGTGTCTATATATATATAGGAAGACATTTGTATTAAAGTTTTGTAAGGTTTATATGACCCAGACTGTTCACTGTTGCTCATTTACCTGCCAGTATCAGGTTACTCCCAGTCCGTAATATTAATACTTTCTGATTTCATGTGGATGAATTTGATATGAATTTTATAATTTATCTTTGAATAAGCAAAGTTGAGCCAAAGCATCTGACAGTTGAGTTTGGATGTTTTATTTGTATTTATTTATCTATGTTTTGTAGTCTTTCACCTTTTAAGTTTGGAAAAAAAGGTTATGAAGTCACGCAAAGAATATTTATTTAGGGGAACGTACACTCCAAGCCCATGCCCATGCTATGCCATACTCATAGCACACAGATACACCTTAAATGGCTGCTTGTTTTGTGTTTTATATGGTCAACTTAAAGCGGTTTAAACATGTCTACAGACTTCTGCAGGGTTCAGTTTGCACATTGTCTGTTTTGTAATGCTATGGTTCACTTTTCTTCTCTCGTCATCTCATCTTTCTCTAACATACACAAAGACTGATTCTTCCATTGCAAATTGATTCTTCCATTTTGATTGCTTTTTTGAGAAAGCATTTGAATTATTGCTTGGGCACTTAAATAAACACTGTGCTATAAGAAATACCCTCTTGGTCTTCTCTTTTCTGTGTATTTGCTGCCACTTTTTTTGTATAAATGAAATTACAATGCCAGCTTGTGAGTTTGTTCAAGTACAGATATTTATAATAAAGTTAATGATTGGCAAAATTGCCAGTTCTACTGTTTAATTAAAAAAAATCTAGAATACAGTAATGAAACTGTAAAATTACAGAACACTGCTGGAAACCCTGCCGCCAGCAATTTACCGTAAAATTACAAAAAAGCCGTAATTCAGAATACAGTAATACAACTGTAAAATTATGGTACACTGCTGGAAACCCTGCTGCCAGTATATTACCGTTAATTCACAATAACATTTTTTACAGTGTAAAGTCTGACATAATTTGTTGCGATGTCAGAGATATTTCTTTCATGCTCATCCTAGTATTTATGCCATTGTTTTCTGACAGGCCCGAGCAGCTTCACAGACTAGTGAACACAATGCTAACGTAAGTTTTATCTTTGCTCAGTGATGCACCTTCTTTTGTCTCTCAGAGCAGAAAAGATCTTGTTGTACCAGAACGCATTGTGTATAAAGGCGTGTTCATTTACATCTGTATTTTTAAATCAGAGCAATAACTTAATTCACTCTCCTTTTGGCCAAGACTCCAGACACAGCCGTGTACAGCCTGAAACACACATTTAAATAGTCGGAGAAAGCACTCTTAAAGGGATTAAGGTCAAAACTTAACTCGTTACCCTACATTTTTACATTATACTTCTCCAAACGTCATTCTCACGTGTATCTGATTACTCCCATCTAACAGGGAACTTTGTCTCAGAACGTTTGCAAGGTAGTCTCAAAGTTTTTACAGCGTCACTGGAAAATCTGTAGTAGTTGAGCTGAAAAGTGCAGCAGGAATGTACCAATATGAGCTGCAGAGATGCTCATGCTGTAATAATGTATGTTGATTTTGCTTTTACGTTTGAATGTGCAAATGACAAAGTCTGAAGTGAAAAAAAGAATCAAAGTTAAAACCGGTGTGTCCAACCCTTCATGTCCCACCCTGAATGTGAGTTATTAAAGCCAGAGAAGTTCTGACACCTCTATCTTTGATCCCAAACTCCCAGAACAACTCAGACACGGGTAAGGAATGCTTTAAACTTTCTTCACAAGCGACAGTTAACTTATTGACTGAGCTATCGGGAATCCAGAGACAGATATGTGTAATGACATTGCATTATACAAAGACTTAACAGATGAGGTCTATTCATACAATCAGAAATGGCATGATACTTTGATATACATACCTTATATCTTGTAGGAGGTCGCCTAATGTCTGAATGTCATTGAATCAGATAACAAAATCTCAGAACTAACTGCACTTTTATGAGCTTTTAAAAATTTACCTTTATTTTTTGTGATACAGTATGCATTAATAAATAATAAAGTGTCCAAATATTTGTTGGAACCACTGTTTCTTCCAGTCTTTGTATACCAGTGCAAGCTGGTGCTTTTTATTTTCTCTCTTTTGTTTTTTCTTAAATTATAATTCGTATTGTATATTATATTGTATATAAGTCTTATTATATATTATACATTGTATTGAATGAATATTAAATAGTGACAGTTACATATTTTTTATTAGTAATTTTTTTGACACTTTTTTTTTACTACTGTGAACAACATATTTTATGTTATTGGACAGTGCTATGCTGACCGAATTACCCTATTTTCAGAGCTACTGACTATGGAATAACTAAGGAGCCACTGGCTTCTAAAACATACATTTGAAAAAAAAACATGTTTAATTTTGAGGATGAATTTTGAGGATTCATCAAATTTTATAATTTTACTCTTTACCATATTAAGAAGGTTGAATGGTTGCACTGTGTAGTATATACTGTGGTGTAACACTTGTGTGAATTTAAGAATTGAAAATACACATCAGTTAATAACTTCTAACAACATAACTTCTTAGATTGCATACTAGTATAGCTAAAATAGCAGTTCCTACAAACAAAACAACCACTGCTGATATAAATACATGTAAAGATGTTAAGCAACATATCTTAATGTTAAGGTTTAATTGTTAATGTTAAAGTGACTTAATATTTATCAATAACATATTACTTAATAAACTCTGTTAAACTAAGGTGTTGATGAATTGAGAATCCAGGCTTATGCTTGTTTGTGTCTGCACTCAGATGAATGATAAAAGGCAATGAAATATAAAGTCTTTCAGATAAAGACTGTCTGTCATTAATGGCTTTTTAAAATACATTATAAATTGTCTAAAATGTTTATTTTTTTGTTGTTTATACAAACTGAATTATTTTCTTTTCATTTTTAATTACAGGTAACAAAAACCGCAGGATTAACAGATATATAAGCTCATAAACATAACTGATGAGGAGCAATTTGATCTTTGTGGCTATCCTGGGGATAGCATGTATGATGATTGGAGTCAATGGGAACAATACAACGAGCAGTAGCAACTCCATAGGCAGCTGGATATCTTCTAACATGACCACCAACCTGACCCAGACACGCCCTCCCAACATAACCACCAATATGAACCAAACAAGCCCTGCCAACATAACCAACATCCTGCCCCAAATACGGCCTCCCAACATAACCACCAACCTGAACCAAACACGCCCCTCCAACATAATCAACATCCTGCCCCAAACACGCCCTCCCAACATAACCACCAACCTGAACCAAACACAACCCCCCAACATAACCAACATCCTGCCCCAAACACGCCCTCCCAACATCACCACAAACCCGACACAGTCAGGCCCCCTCACTGTAACAAACATTATAAAAACATCAAGTTCTAATACTCAATCAATAGTAAATTAAGTCTTTTTCCTATTTAAAAATGGAAATGACAATCTTGGCTGTTAAAGCTCAAGTTTTTTTTTTTTATTGCAGGAAATCACAGGCAGGGATAACTGCAGGAGAGATAGAGCATGTTTCTCTGCTCCACCTTCCTGTAATCCAGGTGCACAAGGTTCCTGCTATTTCCTCTCCACAAAAGGAGTAAGCGGAAATGCAAATAATTTTACTTTTGAGCTCAGTGGCGAGGCAGATGGTTACATTGGAGCTGGCCTCTCTAGAGACAACAGTGTAAGAGATCAAATCCAGTTGATTTTTTATCAGACATTTCTTTTAAAAAGTAAAGTCCTTAACTTTTAAACATTACACTCTATTAAAGTGAAGAATGGTATTCTGGTTGTCTGACTAATCGACTTTTCTCATCCATAGGGTCAGGGTGCCACCGTCTATTCTTGTGCCAAAATCAATGGTGCACTGAAGTTGATTCGTTCCACATTGAACAATCAAATACTAACTCAGGATAACACAGTAAGGCCCCTTTTCTAAGACCGGTAATGCAAAAAAGCTGATTAAAGGATACTACCTATGACTGCCTCATCCTCTAGTCAGTAACACCCAGAAATAACACTCTCAACTGCCTTCCTATAGTTATTTACTGTTGTGGAAGAATTGTGTCCCACTCCTTAAACTTTAGTTCTGTGATATTTGTAGGCTTTTAAGCATGAATTGTGCATTTAAAGTCATTTCAATGCCACAACATTTCAAAAGTGTTTAAGTACTTCACTGCACTGAATAGCCTTACATTTCTTGTTTTTCAGCCATTCTGAGCTAGGCTTGTTTGTATGTTTAAGATATTTTTGTGTCAGAAATTGCAAAGATTTCCCCACAGCACTGTATATGTCATCTCAAATAGAGTTTCTGTGCCATCGTTGCAGTGTGATATTAAATAATATTATACTTCTGTTGTGGCGCAGTTCATCCCTGGAAGCTTCCGTGGCTCAGTGACTGGAAAAAAGATTCAATGCATTTTCAATGCTGCAGGTCTCAGCAGCACCGCCCGTGCTGCAACCACAGAAACGTTTGTCTTCCTATTAACAGGCAGCATATCAAATGGTGAGTGCAAAACTTTGATCAAGTAACTTACATATATTATGTTTTGAAGCAGAAGTAAACCATTTTCTTCCCCCTACTCCTATTTCCAGGTTCTCTTGAATCTCCAGTCAGTAGACTAGCCACAAATGGGTCAGTGGACTTAAGCAACCCTAACAGCACAGACGTTTCAGTAACAACACCCAGTACAAATGCCACTGCATCTAATACCACAGCAACATCAACCACTGCACCATCTACGAACCTGACCCAGATGGTCCCTCCCAACATGACCGCCAATATGACCCAAATGGGTCCCCTCAACACGACTGCAAACTTGACCCAGACGCGTCCTCCCAACACGACCGCCAATCTGAACCAAACACGCCCTACCAACATAACCACAAACTTGACCACGACACCGTCAGGCTCTAATACCTTGACCAACAGCAACACCAATAATCTACCACTGGTAAGCCCTTTTCCTTGTTTAAAAATGGAAATAATAACCATCCTGACTGTTGAAGTGAAAGTTGCATTTAAATTATAAAACAAATTACTTTTGCAAGTTAGCTTGTATACCCAGCACTTACATTTTCAATTTAATTTTACTTTGTTTACTGAAGGACATCACTGGCAGGGATAACATCAACCACTGCACCATCTACGAACCTGACCCAGATGGTCCCTCCCAACATGACCGCCAATATGACCCAAATGGGTCCCCTCAACACGACTGCAAACTTGACCCAGACGCGTCCTCCCAACACGACCGCCAATCTGAACCAAACACGCCCTACCAACATAACCACAAACTTGACCACGACACCGTCAGGCTCTAATACCTTGACCAACAGCAACACCAATAATCTACCACTGGTAAGCCCTTTTCCTTGTTTAAAAATGGAAATAATAACCATCCTGACTGTTGAAGTGAAAGTTGCATTTAAATTATAAAACAAATTACTTTTGCAAGCTTGTATACCCAGCACTTACATTTTCAATTTAATTTTACTTTGTTTACTGAAGGACATCACTGGCAGGGATAGCTGCAAGAGGGATAGAGCATGTTTCTCTGCTCCACTTTCCTGTAATCCAAGTGCACAAGGTTCCTGCTATTTCCTCTCCACAAGAGGAGTAGGTGGACATGCAAATAATTTAAATTTTGAGATCAGTGGTGAGACAGATGGTTACATCGGAGCAGGCCTCTCTCGAGACAAGAGTGTAAGTGATCAAATCGAGTGTTTTTTTTATGTGTTTCTTTTAATTAAATGTAAAAATTAAGCACTGTAATTTTAAAAGCCAAAGTATGGTTCCTTGACTAATTTATTTTTCACATCCTCAGGGTCAAGGAGCCACTGTCTATTCGTGCGCTAAAGTCAATAGTGAACTGAGGTTTTTCCGTTCCACACTGAACAATCAAATACTGACTCAGGATAACACAGTAAGACCCTTTTTCAGAGAGCCTTCTCTATAAATGATACTATGCCAATATTAGCAAAGGGAATTCTTAACAGTAAACAATATAGTAGTATATTAAAAAAGGGAGTGGTACTGTCCACACAGGTATCAAATGTTGCCTCTGTGTAAATCTGTGTAAAGATGCAATAATGAATAAAAATAAATTAAAATATACTGTAAAATATACTAAAATAGAGTTTCTCACAGCACTGTATATGTCACCTCTGATTTATGTTTTGTGCCATCTTTGCAGTGTAATATTCTGTAATATTATTTCTGTCTTGCTGCAGTTCATCCCTGGAAGTTTCCGTGGTTCGATGAATGGAAGAAAGATTCAGTGCATTTTCACTGCTGCAGGTCTCAGCAACAATGCCCGTGCTGCAACCACAGACAATTTTGTCTTCTTTTTAACAGGAAGCGTCTCAAATGGTGAGTGTGAAACTTTGATCCAGTGACAAATTATTATTATCATTATTTTTTTTTATTTTTTTTTTTGCAAAAGTAAATCTTACTCCTCCCTTCACTCCTTTTCCAGGTTCTCTGGATTCTCCAGTCACTAGACTGGCCACAAATGGGTCAGTGGACTTAAGCAACCCTAACAGCACAGATGTTTCAGTAATAACACCCAGTATAGATGCCACCACTACAGCCCCAAACACCACTGCATCTACTGCCACTGCAGCATTAAACACCACTGCATCTACTGCGTCTGGAGTATCTACAGCTAATAATGGTACAGCAAATGTAAGTGGGAACAGACTGGCAAGACAGTTTTTTGTTCATATTTACAATTGTGTTGCTTTTTGTGGTGAAGGTGAAGTAAAGCGTTTGTGGAGTCGATGTTAACAGCTATTGTATTGTGTCGGATGTCAAATTGCTGTAGTATTTATTTTTGAAACTTGAATTACCTTGAGATTTTATGCATTTATTAAACATTCTCAACAGATTTATATGAATTTCAGCATTGCATTTCAAGGCTAATATCAACATAACTTTACAATACAAGGTCACCAAAGACAACTGTAAGAAGGACAGGGCATGTTTCTCCACTCCAGCCAACTGTGATCCATCCAGCTCAAATAGCTGCTTTTTTGCCTCCACAAGAGGGGTGAACGGAGACTCCAACAATCTCACTTTTGAGCTCAGCGGGGATCCAAATGGTTACATTGCAGTTGGCCTGTCTCGAGACAAGAAGGAGGTCTGAAAAACATCACATTTATTTCTAATATATGTCCACGTTTAAAAAACTCCCTTTTTTAAGAATGTGATTTGGACCAAAAAAAAATCTCAGATTTGGGTTCTCACTTATTTACCTTTTCTTCTCATAGGGTGATAATGACACCGTCTATTCTTGTGCCAACGACAATGGTGTGGCGAAGTTCATCCGTGCCACACTGAATAATACCATTCTGACTCCGGATAATACTGTAAGACTCCCTTTTACAGAGCATTTTCTTTATTGCCAAGCTTTGCACAAAAGATTATTGACTATACATTATGTGGTAATGAACAGCAATGGGGACGGCTTTAAAGAACAAAGCATTCTGAGACAACTATACAGTAGAACAGTAACGATGCAAATGTTTGTTCAACAGCAGCAAGCGAAAAAAGCGAAACCCAGAGTAGAGCTGGAGGGTTTATGGAATGCTTTGAGGTTAAGGGACACCTCCTTCACTGTGACATCTAATTTTTAGCAATACATTTGTACTTGTTTTGTCTTGCAGTTTAACCCCAGATCCTTCCGTGGCTCTGTAAGCGACACTAGGATTCAGTGCATTTTTGTAGCTGCAGGCCTCAGCAGCATCACCCGTGCAGCAAACACAGATACTTTCCTCTATTTCTTCACTGGCAACTATGCAAACGGTAAGAGTGACACTACAAAAACAGTACTGAAGGAGATTCTAATTGGTAGCAAAATTAAAATGTTTTCTTTATTTCCATTTCAACAGGCACTCTGGGGTCGCCAGTCACACGAATGTCTACAAATTCATCAGTTGATCTAACCAGCACTAACAGCTCAGATGTTGTCATAATAACACCCACTACAAATACTACCACTACTACCACTACTACAGTTTCTACTACAGCAAAACCTGCTACTACAGCAGGGAGCAATGCACTGCATCATGCTGCATCTCAGGGTAAGAATTGTATACGGCCACACCAGGTAGAATCTGCATTTTGAGAGAAAATATCTACAGTGTGTTAAAAAGAGTGACACAAAGGACTCTTTAGCTGCTAAATGCTCTTGTTTGAAATTAATTGGTGCATGATACGCATTTGCCCAACAGACAGAACAGCATTTGCAATACAAGAGTTATTTCTAGCTAATAGAAGTAGTATAATTTTCATGATGTGCTTTTCAAGAGTCAGTTACCTGAGCAAAAATATTAGGATAAAGCATTTGAAGTTCTTTAATAAATGACTTAACTATTCCTTTTTCTTGTCTTTTCAGCTGCTCTGGTAATTCTCTCAGGGATCCTTGCAGTCCTCCTGTTGTAAGGATGCTGCCAACACATCATTTGCTTTCTGAAATTGGTCGATGAGCACTGAACGCTTGATGAACCCAACACTAAAGTATATGTAATGCAGCATATTTATAACTGTGCAATGTTGTGACTCTGGGAACAATGAGGAAAGGAGCTGCAAATTTGGGAAGAGGGCAATACATCATTTATTTTATATGTGTGTACGTGTGAGAGAGGTTGTGTTTGAGTGTGTTTTTGTGAGCATTAGTGTTTGCATTCTACTAATGTACTGCTACTTAAAAGCAGGCTCCTGCACAGAGAGGGCAGATACAAATGAGTGTAATTGGTCTGTTCATTTAATTGCAAGTGTGATGCCACCACGTGGCTGGCATTATCAAAGATAATTATTTTTAGATCTCTTAATTTATTTTGCAACTGTTGCCTCAAACCTGTAGTTGCCTGTAAGTTTTAAATAAAGTCACATGTATTTTTTTTTGAAGAAAAATATGTATAATAAAATGTTAATGTAAACAATAAAACTGCTAGATCTCTCTCTCTGTGTGTGTGTGTGTGTGTGTGTGTGTGTGTGCTTTCACCAGTGCATGGAATAAGGGTTTAATGCACAGCAAAGAACTTAGCTAAATGCAAACAGTAACATGGACAGGTTGTGTGACATTCCCTCATGCTCAAAAATCATTAACAAAAGGGGTCATATGATGCGATTTCAAGTTTTCCTTTCTCTTTGGAGTTTTACAAGCTGTTTGTGAATAGATAAGATCCCTAAAGTTGCAAAGACTAAAGTCTCAAACCCAAATAGATATTCTTTATCAAAGTTAAGACTCGTCCACGCCCTCCGAAAACGCCTCGTTCTAACACGCCCCCACATGTCTACGTCACTGTGTGGGAAGATTTGCATAACGCCGCCCAAATGTTCACGCAAAGAAAGAAGTTGTAACTTTATTCTCGCTGTAGTATTGTTGCTGCCGCCACCATGTCGTGGACACGCTGTGTTTCGTTGTGAAAGCGAAACTGCTTTGTTTGGTCTTCCAAAAGAGGACACGACTAGAAATCAGTGGTTAAGTTGTATTTACAACACTGTTCCAGAACACTTCAACCCAAATATTCAGATGTGTGCAGCACATTTTATGGAGGACCATTTCCTGATCCTGGGAGAGTAGACTACAATGCCAATTATGTCCCCACCGGATGCAACAAATGCGTCGTTTGTAATGGGTTTTAATGTTTTTGTCTCGTCGCTCCGGCCGGACACGCCATCACAATATGGTAGGGGCATAACATTTCCGTCACACGCTTGAGGCATTCAGCCAATCACAACGCACTGGATAGCTGTCCAATCACAGCACACCTCACTTGTGTGCGAGACCGATGAGCTTTGTAAAAATCGACGCGTTTCAGAAAGGTGGGGCATAGATGAGAAACAATAATGTACAGTATGTGGAAAATAATGTGTTTTTTAACCTTAAACCGCATAAACACATTTCATTACACCAAATACACAAAATAATGTTCTTTTTAGCAACATCATATGACCCCTTTAACAAAAAATTAAACATGTTTATTTTTTAATTATTAATAATTTTAGTACTGTGTTGGGTCACCAAATTGTAGACTGAGATAAATTGCTTTACAGGAATATTATATAAGGTGATGCAGTAGATTGAACATATTTTAACAGTTTTTTTTTTATTTTTTTATTTGTATAAAAGAAAAGATGCAGAAGCAACAATGTTATCTTCTGCCAAACTTCACTGAAAAAAAAAAGTATAGAAACAATTTTCACTCAGAAATGAGTAGTAAATTTCATAATTAATTGTAAAGTAGCACATTGAATTAAACATGAAATTCAGGACGAACTTCTGTAATATTATCTTACTTTTTATTTCAATGATCTTTCTTTTTTACAACTACGGACAAAAAACAAACCAACAAGAAAAACTATTTTTATAGTTATACTTAAGGCTTAAATATTCAATTTTAAATATCCTATATTATTATTATTATTATTATTCTTTTGATTTTGTTTTTGTCATTGGAACATTTTATCTCCTGAACATGAATAGTATTAAAGGGGTCCTATTATGCTCGTTTACAAAGTCTTTTGTTTTGGGGTGTACTAGAACAGGCACTCATACTAGGTTGTTCGAAAAACACATTATTTTCCACATATTTTACATTATTACAACACCTCTCTCCCCAGTCTGGCATGAATGGCTCGAATAGTTCCTGTATCAAATGAAGGTCCGCCTTCTGAAATACAAAATGTGCTGTGATTGGTTAACTGGGCCAGTGTGTGCTGTGACTGGTTAGCTGGGCCAATGTGTGCTGTGATTGGTTAACTGGGCCAGTGTGTGCTGTGACTGGTTAGCTGGGCCAATGTGTGCTGTGATTGGTTAACTGGGCCAGTGTGTGCTGTGACTGGTTAGCTGGGCCAATGTGTGCTGTGATTGGTTAACTGGGCCAGTGTGTGCTGTGACTGGTTAGCTGGGCCAATGTGTGCTGTGATTGGTTAACTGGGCCAGTGTGTGCTGTGACTGGTTAGCTGGGCCAATGTGTGCTGTGATTGGTTAACTGGGCCAGTGTGTGCTGTGACTGGTTAGCTGGGCCAATGTGTGCTGTGATTGGTTAACTGGGCCAGTGTGTGCTGTGACTGGTTAGCTGGGCCAATGTGTGCTGTGATTGGTTAACTGGGCCAGTGTGTGCTGTGACTGGTTAGCTGGGCCAATGTGTGCTGTGATTGGTTAACTGGGCCAGTGTGTGCTGTGACTGGTTAGCTGGGCCAATGTGTGCTGTGATTGGTTAACTGGGCCAGTGTGTGCTGTGACTGGTTAGCTGGGCCAATGTGTGCTGTGATTGGTTAACTGGGCCAGTGTGTGCTGTGACTGGTTAGCTGGGCCAATGTGTGCTGTGATTGGTTAACTGGGCCAGTGTGTGCTGTGACTGGTTAGCTGGGCCAATGTGTGCTGTGATTGGTTAACTGGGCCAGTGTGTGCTGTGACTGGTTAGCTGGGCCAATGTGTGCTGTGATTGGTTAACTGGGCCAGTGTGTGCTGTGACTGGTTAGCTGGGCCAATGTGTGCTGTGATTGGTTAACTGGGCCAGTGTGTGCTGTGACTGGTTAGCTGGGCGAGTGTGTGTTGTGATTGGCAGCACTTAGCACCTGGTCGGGAAATGTCATGCCCCTTACCATAGCCGCCTGCGAGCTTCAGTGTAAATATTGCATCAATATCAAATCAATTTAAGCACAATTTAAACCCGGATGATTTTAACCACTCTAAGCTCGTCTGCCTTGGGAAAGCTAGTGTGTCTCCGACATAGTGATAACACTTGTTGCCTTTAGTGCAGCTCAACCAGGTTTCGTGCCATTCGTCAATATTTGTGATATCACAAATCCCGGAAAATATGCTTTGTAGTCCAAACGAGTTGTTCGTTGTAGTTTTTGAAAAGTGATTTCTGTTAAATAAAATATCTCCTTTTGAATTGGACTTTGAGCTTTGTAACTTTGCAGATATTTTTTATGCTCAAACAACAACATTACAGACTAACTCAAGTTTAAAAAGTGAAAAAGCATAATAGGACCCCTTTAAGAATACACTCTTAAAAATAAAAGTGCTTAAAAGGTTATTCACAGCGATGCTATAGAAGAACCATTTTTGGTTCCACAAAGAACCATTCAGTCAAAGATTCTTTAAAGAACCATCTCTTTCTTACCTTTTTATAATCTGAGGAACCTTCTTTCGCCACAAAGAACCTTTTGTGAAACAGAAAGGTTCTTCAGATGTTAACGGTTCTTTATAGAACCATTTAGACAAAAACGTTATTCGATGGCATTGCTGTGAAGCAACTTTATTTTTAAGAGTGCACACAAAATTAAGTACTGTTTAAAAAACTTTGTGGGTTAATGAAAACAATGTCTCAGTGGATCAACTTAAAAGTTTATCATCCAAAAATAGTTTTTTGTACTATTAAAAAGAAAACAAACAAAAAAACACAGTTGACCAATGTGCTGAACAATGCTCTAAAAATACTACCCAGCAAACAACAACAGATAACAAAGGAAATCACAAGTCATAGGCTATAGTGAAGAGATACGCATTTAACTTTGATTTTAAAAATGTTGGTGCAGTTTTAATTTGGATTGGTAAAGTGTTCCAAAGTTTAGGCGCAGCTATGGCAAAAGCTCGATTACAATCTGGATGTTAATTTTGACTTTGGAACAGTGAACAAACTCTGGTTGACAGAGTTCTCACTGGATGGTGTACACACAACAAGTCAGAGAAGTAAGAGGGAGTGAGGCCATTTAAACATTTAAAAACAAGCAGAAGCACTTTAAATTCTAAAGTGGACTGGGAGCCAATGTAAAGACTTTAACACAGGAGTAATATCTTCGTATTTGCGAACACCAGCTAAGAGTCTTGCAGCCGTGTTTCGGACATACTGTAATCTGGGTAATGAAGAACTGTTTATTCCCAGAGACAGGAAATTACAATCATCAATTCTAGAAGAAATAAAAGCATGAATTGTAGTTTCAAAGTGCTTAAAAGAAAGGAAAGTCTTAAGTCAGTGCTCTTAGTTCGTAAAAACTTGATTTGACAACTAAATGTATTTGTCAATCAAATTTAAGTGCCCTATCAAATAAGAGGCCCACGTTTTTTTTTTTTTTTTTTACAAATTATTTCACTGAAGGTAAAACACCAGAATTTAAATGAGAAATGTTTCGGACTTTAGAAGAGCCAAACACAATTATTTCTTTTTTTTTTTTTTTTACTTTCATTTAGATTTAAAATAAAATAAAGACCTCCAGGCTTTGACATCAGAAAGCAGGCACAAAGGGAGTCTAAGCCGTTTTTGTGAAAACTGTCAGATATGAACCACTTCTGTGACATGGTTATGCTTGATTTTGTTATTTTGTAGCTTGACTGTTTCTATTCTTATTCACTTCAAGAATTAACCCTTGGTGTTTCACTGAAAGAAAGGCATACAGGTTAGAACGGCATGGAATAATTACAGAATCTGAGTAGAAATGTGATGCCACTGAATTTGAATACCAAATTGGTGCCAATGCAGCACAGATTAAAGATGGCATTCATTTTTTTTAGTAGGCTATTATTATTATTTATTTTTATTTTTATTTTTTTTAATTCCCAACATAATTTTCTTAAATGAGTTTTCTTATTCTTATAAAGGCTTTAGAAGAAGGTGGGATGTTTCTGGCTAACTAACTTGACTGGTATTTGAATGTGCACGTGGTTTCTTTGTCTTCTTTTTTTCTTCC